TAATATATTAAAGTGGTAACTCTACAGGTTACAGTAACCCAATACAAAGTAATCAGTCCAAGATCATGTTAATATATTAAAGTGGTAACTCTACAGGTTACAGTGAACTCAATACAAAGTAATTACTCCAAGTTTGTGGTAATATATTAAAGGGGTAACTCTACAGGTTACAGTGAACTCAATACAAAGTAATTACTCCAAGTTTATGGTAATATATTAAAGTGGTAACTCTACAGGTTACTGTAACCCAATACAAAGTAATTACTCCAAGTTTGTGGTAATATATTAAAGTGGTAACTCTACAGGTTACAGTGAACTCAATACAAAGTAATTACTCCAAGTTTATGGTAATATATTAAAGTGGTAACTCTAATTGATATGAACATGGTATAAAGATGGTAGTGATAGAGTGAACCGTTTTTATATATGAAGAAAATGACTCGTACATAAATACATAAAAAAACACTGACCTGAAAAACGGAATTTGGAACGCTGGAAGTTGAACTATCGGGATAGTCGACTTAGCTCGCGCAATAAACATGGTTGAAACAGACCTCAACATTGTCACGTGTATAGAATAAATTGACGAAGTAAGAGAAGGAGGCTACTGTAGCTTCGTAAAGTGATTTTCGATTATAGAAAAGTTTAAATAGATATTGCTATAACATCGAGATCAAAAGGAAACAAATCTATTTTTCAGCGAAGGTTTCAAGGACATTGCATGTGAAATCTCGTGCAACTAGCATTACTGTGTGCTCGGTCTTCCTCACAATATCTGGAGGTTACTTTTAGAACTTCACTCATCACGGCTGAAGTCGATACTAAACTCAAAAACGTATTGGCTGGTGAAACTTGACGTCAGGCCATATTATTGGTCCCTAAATTGTCTAGTATAATCGTATCAATAGCAAGTACATCTAAGTTTTAGTTAAATGTTTTGTAATAATTTTTTTCTTTCAGTTTTGGTGTCTCACTTTTTCTTATTACGTACATTTTGATTTCTTTAGTTTTATATAAATGGCTATATATAAATTAATAGTTTCTTCTAGATGTGACATTGTAAAAATATAGGGAACAATAACTGACAATATTGTGTTGGTATAAATTGGTTTTATTATAAAGGAAACAATAACTGGCAGTATTGTGTTGGTCTAAATTGATTTTATTATAAAGGGAACAATAACTGGCAGTATTGTGTTGGTCTAAATTGGTTTTATTATAAAGGAAACAATAACTGACAATATTGTGTTGGTCTAAATTAATTTTATTATAAAGGGAACAATAACTGGCAGTATTGTATTGGTCTAAATTGATTTATTATAAAGGGAACAATAACTGACAATATTGTGTTGGTCTAAATTGATTTTATTATAAAGAGAACAATAACTGACAATATTTTGTTGGTCTAAATTAATTTTATTATAAAGGGAACAATAACTGGCAGTATTGTATTGGTCTAAATTGATTTATTATAAAGGGAACAATAACTGACAATATTGTGTTGGTCTAAATTGATTTTATTATAAAGAGAACAATAACTGACAATATTGTGTTGGTCGAAATTGATTTTATTATAAAGGAAACAATAACTGGCTGTTTATTGTTGTTTTTCTAAACGTGTAGTGGGACGGTTCCATCTTGACTGTTTATTTATTACTATATTATTATGATAAACAACCAACTACAGCGCTTAACAGTCTTGTACTGTTTCAATATTAATACTTGCATTGTGTACTTTCTACTTTACCACAGACTTATATACCAGAATAAAATCAATTTAGACCAACACAATATTGTCAGTTATTGTTCCCTTTATAATAAAATCAATTTAGACCAACACAATATTGTCAGTTATTGTTCCCTTTATAATAAAATCAACTGAGACCAACACAATATTGTCAGTTATTGTTCCCTTTATAATAAAATCAATTTAGACCAACACAGTATTGTCAGTTATTGTTCCCTTTGTAATAAAATCAATTTAGACCAATACAATATTGTCAGTCATTGTTCCCTTTATAATAAAATCAATTTAGACCAACACAGTATTGTATGTTAATACAGAAGATGATACAACTTCTCTCTACATATTGGTCAATACATTTTTTCTACCTCACTACACACGTGTTTTCTTCTACCCCACTCCACACGTATTTTCTTATGACCATTTCATTAATAACTTTACTAGTTCATTTCTTCCCACTTGCTGTAATGCATTAAATGTTTCTTATCTAAACCCTGGTGCTTTGATGTCATTTTCAAGTAACAGATGCAGTAAGACTGAATACATGTCTTATAAAATTGTAAGCTTTGGCAGGTTAAAACTGTCAAGGGAAGAGACCGTAAAAGTGGAGTCAAGGGAAAAGACCGTAAAAGTGGAGTCAAGGGAAGAGACTGTAAAAGTGGAGTCAAGGGAAGAGACGTAAAAGTGGAGGATGTGTTTTTATCTGTCATTTTATTTCTTCTATTAGTAAGCAATGCCCTTTTAAAAACTTCTAAATGGGTACCAGAAAAGGTGGTGTTTATCAAAACCATTGGTGAGTAGTATATTTGCTTTATCATAATCACCTTAATGAAATATCAGCTCGTTTCTGTTTTTTACTAGCTGTATTCAGGTGATCAAGTTTTTTATTGTTGCAGGAGTATCTCTCACGTGGTTGCTATGATCTAGAAGTACATGATCATTGCTCTGTACGGATGTTGTACTGGACCTTGAACAACATTATCTTGAATTGATGTAGTTCTGTGCTCCTATCCTCTTTTTTGGCAAACTGTAAATAAGTCACGAAATATAAGTGTGTCAATAATAATTTATATTTTACCTTTTTTGCATAACTACTGCATTACATAAACAGCCTGAGTTATTGCTTGATAATTGTAATTATTATCATATTTATTATTAACTATTATAGAAATCCTATAGTGCCACTCAAGAAGAAACTTATAGTCAGTCTATATGGACAGACATGGCAGCTAGCACCATTGTTTTGGTTTACGTGTTGTTGCAAGCTGTAGTAGGTGTATTTTTGATGCTGTTATTGGTTAGCTAGAGAGCGTAAAACACCTAGGAAGATCTAAAGACGTGACGTCAAGTTTTCCTAGTTTATTCGAAGCTTGATTATAAATATTAGATTGTTGTGAAGTGTATAGTTTTCAATATAGGAAGTTGAATCAGTCAGAGTGTTTCAATCTCTGTTTACTATCGCGCCTATTGAGTTATGTAATTAAAGTAAATTGGTGTTTATATGTTAACGTCATTTGTAATGTAGACCTACAACGAGTTACTACAGCGTACAAGTGTTCAAGCTTGTAGAAACTTTAAAGGAGGAAATAAAGTAATTTTTTCACGTGGACGTTAAATTATTTTCATCAGATAATTCAAAAGAACGATAAAACAACATTATTAAAAGAACCCACCAACAAAAAACAACATTACTAAAAGAACCCACCAACAAAAGAACAACATTACTAAAAGATCCCACCAACAAAAAACAACGTTACTAAAAGAACCCACCAACGAAAGAATAACATTACTAAAAGAACCCACCAACAAAAAACAACATTACAAAAGAACCCACCAATAAAAAAACAACATTACTAAAAGAACCCACCAACAAAAAAAAACACCATTACAAAAAGAACCCACCAACGAAAGAATAACATTACTAAAAGAACCCACCAACAAAAAAACAACATTACTAAAAGAACCCACCAACAAAAAAACAACATTACTAAAAGAACCCACC